GGCATGACGTTGTATTCAAAATGTCCATACCTAGTTCGAAACGTAGTCTTCCATTCATCTCCTTCTTTGATGCGTACTAGATTGTATGCTCCCCAAAGATCTATTTTTGTATAGATCTTAGCTTGATTCAGCTAATCAAGAAGTCCAGATATTAAAGGTAGTGGATACCTGTTCTTGATGGTATCTTATTAAATCCTCGATAATCAACATACATCCGTAATGATCCATCTTTTTTCTTCACAAATAGAATTGGAGCTCGTGCAGGAGATTTAGAATGGCATATGAAATTTTTGGCTAGATTTTCTTCAATATACTCCTTGAATTCAGTCAATTCATTTTGTGATAAACTGTAGATTGGTTCAAATGGCGGTTGTGCTCTTTCTTGAAGGTCAATTGAGCAATCATAGGGACGATGTTCTAGGAGTGTATCTGCATTTTTTTTTCAAACACATCTTGAAATTCTTGATATTGGCTTAGAATGCAACTTGAAGTCTTTCCTCCAGTAAAAATAGTTGTAGCATAAATAATATATGGTGATTCTTTCATAGCAGCATGCAAGAAAGCTTTTGTACCTATAAACACGGGTTTAATTGAACTAGACTTATGTCTCTCTACTTGCTTAACTACACTGTTAGTTATACTTTTAGAGAAAGTAAGAGTTCAGGAAATCTAATTTATTTGAGGGTTGTATTTTTCTAACCACGATAAACCTAAAATGACTGGATTAAAGAGAGATCTAATGATATTAAATACTACAAAACTATTATGACCATTGATTATTACTTCTATAGGAAGGATTTTGTGAGTTATATCTCCAGAAGACAATGGACGACCATCTATGACTTCTACATGAACAGGTTTAGTTTTCTTTACTAAAGATATGCTATGTCTTTTAGTAAATTCTTCATCTAAAAAATACGCTGAGGCTCTTGAATCTAACAAGGCAGAGACTTTGTAATGTTTAGGTCCTAAAATAACATTTAATGTAAAACAAGGAGAGGGCTCTAAGGAGAGAATAGGACCTTTACTAGAAGTTGTGCAAGGTTCCAGCCACACGGTCCCTATTATAGCTGGACAAACTCGTTTTCCGACATATTATCTTCTTTCACAGCCATACTCCTCATTTTGTGATTGCGTCGTTTCTTTGGACAATGTTGAGCAGTGTGCTTTGGTTCTCCACAATATAAACATAATCCTTCTTGACGACGACGAGTCTTTTCTTACTCAGTAAGAGGTTTGAAACGTACTGCATCAATTTGCATATCCTCTACTTCCGAATGTATGTGTTGAAGAGGTGTTGGTGTTGCCATTGAATTATAGTAACGTTGAGGTCCACTTGTACGGTTCTCAGATCGGAATTCAAAAAGGCGATTGTCGCACTTTACAGCAAAGTCAATTGCTTGACTCAATGTTTGAGGATCAGGTAAGTTGAGCATTAATTTTTTTATCTCATATTGTAATCCGTAGAAAAATTGGCTAATAAGTGCAGCATCATCCCACTTGATATCAGTTGCAAGTTGTCAAAATTGTGAAGCATATAACGTTACTGATTGATTGCCTTGTCGTAAAATACGGATCTTATTGGTTGCAACACGAATTGCATCATGTTCTCCATACATGGATCGAAACTCCGCCAAAAAAGCCTCTAGATTATCCAATATTGGATCTTGTCGTTCAAGAAAAGATAAAAACCACGATAGTGCTGAACCTGAAAGAAGCGTACCAATGAATCTAACTTGTGATCCTAGAGTTAGATAGCTTTGGGGTTGAAGTTCAATCACAAGTTGCACTTGATTGATAAATCCTCGAAACTTGGATCTAGTGCAATCAAACTTCTCGGGTAGGGCAATTCTTGGTTCTCTAACATTTGAAGGGCATTCCACCATAGGAGAAAAGACATGGTTTGATGCAGATGTTGAAGCAGCTCCAACCATTTCTATATCTTCACTTCCTGCCAATCTTGTTGCTCCTTGTGGTGGTAAATTGAGTTGATACATTGCAAGCATTAACTCCTTGAATTGTTCTTGCATTTGTGCCATTGCACTCTTCATTTCAAGAAGTTCTGCCATGATAACACTTAGAAGAGAGAAGATGTCTAATATCGCTCAAGACAAATAGAAGAGAGGACTTGGGAACAAAGAAAATACTAAGGACAATATCAGTTTAGAAGAGGGTAATCCGCAACTTCTAATACGCTTATATCTTATCAAGAAAAAGAGGTAATCCACTCTTAATCAAGATTAGACAAAGCTCTGATATTGTAGGTGTACTTTGTCAATCTGTCAAGGACAAGAACTCGATGAAAAAACAATTCAGACAAGTGAGCCTTCACTCAAAGAGAGGTAACAAAATATATATAAACAAGTATATATATGAAAGAAGAACTGGATGTCAAGGACAAGAACTCGGTGAAAAAACAATTTAGACAAGTGAGCCTTCACTCAAAGAAAGGTAACAAAATATAAATAAACAAGTATGTATATTAAAAGAGAAACTGGAATGGCTATTGCCAAAAGACAAGAAAACTAGAGATCCTTGAAACTAGACTGGAAGCAAGAAAAGAGTTGACAAGAGTGAAGAAGCCTTCATTCTTGTCTCTATATATACTATCTAACTAGAGGCTACGTGGCAACATTCTATAGGACCTCCAATATGTGTTGACTTTGTAGGGCACATGCCTTGACTTACAAGGCAAGTTTTTCTACGTGTGGGCCACATAGTTAGCTTGATCTTCAAGCTAACAATATGTGTGGCACATGGCCAACTTGTTGATCACGTTTCTAATCCAAAAAGTCAATTACAGACACCTATGAAGTCAAAGCAGCGTCTAGGAAGTTTCTAGGAAGCTTCCATATTAAATATTGTAGAATTAACTTACTTTTATCTACTTTTACTTACTTCTACCTATTTCTATATGTAATTATTAGCTTACATGATTATGGCCGTGACACCAAGCTTCTAATCTATCAATCAACTACAATCACATGTTAAGTTAAAGTAGTGTCTATACAGCTTCTAAGAAGCTTCTCTAAAAAATATCATGAAATAAATTTACTTTTATCTTCTTTTACTTAATCATATAGGTAAATATTAGAATAAATATGTATACCATATTTGGCCTCATTGCCAAACACAACCTAATCCTCATTGTATTTAAGGTTATTATCATTGTAGCTAGCTTTGTCCTCTATTAAATACATATCACCAACCATGACTTTGACGATGGCTTTGTGAATATTAAACATAATCTCACATCAATCTAGAGCTTTAGAAATAAAGTGAGATTGCATCAAATTTCAAAACAAGACAAGATATTATTGAAAAAAACATCTTGCTTCGCTTATGACTAGGGCTGCACATATTTTTGAAATTTCAAAGTGTATTGCTTCTTCATTTACAAGTCTATGTTGTCATATTGAAATGGCATGCTCCAATCTTATACGTTGGTTGTGATCTTGTGTTTTGCTCCAACGTTCTCTTTACAACCAAATGCAATACAGAAACAAAAGTGCATCTCTTTGATGACCAAAGTGGTGACACAACAAGAGATGATTTTCAAATCATACTTTGCATCATTGGCCTTGATGTAACTTGAACGACACTTGTTTTAAAATCGGAGGACTAAACAACAATAAACAAATTAACTATCTACTACTTCACTTTATTCTTGCATGATTAAAAAAGTGGTCTAGGCACAATAATTATCTATTGCTCCACTCCAACTTAGTCGCAATTGAAAAAGTGACCTCAATAGACAATCACTACTACTTTGCTCTAACAATTGAAAAAATAATCTCTGCAATTTGTAACTATCACTTTACTCCTAACTCCAACTTAGTCACAATTGAAAAAATAACTTTTATAGTGAATAACTACCACTCTACTCTTAGCATTATTTTGGACACGTTTGAAATTGATCTAAGCAATCGGTAACTATCATTGTGCAAATGGCCTTAATTTAGACATGTTTAAAAAACTAATCTAAGTAATTAAGGTCCTAAATTGCTAAAATGCCTATTATAGATAAGATTGGTCATACTCAATATCATTATTATTATTATTTTTTATATTATGCACTTTAAAAAATAAAATAACAAATTTATCATATTTTCTCATTTTTTCTTGTATATGTCTTTGAAGAATAATACATGTTATTTCAATAACATTGACATTTAATATACATTTTAAATTTTCCAATAACTCCGTTTATGAATACATATATATTCAAATATATATGTATTTTGTAAATATTTTACTTTTGTATCACACATCTATGTATGTATGTATGTATTTATATATATATATATATATATATATATATATATTTCATCCATTTAATGCACTTAAGAAGGTTTGAGAGATATGCATTCGTTTATTTTTTATTAAATACCTCATTATATTCAACTCCATGAAATTTCAAGCAAGATCATTAGAGATATCAGCTAGAATATTTGACAGTCTTCTTAACAATATTGTAATTGTAATATTTTCATTTACAATAAAGTTAATGCATGTAACAATATTCAATACTTATTAAATAAAAACTTAAAAATTTCAGTTGTTTTTTTTTCTGGTGACTTCATTTCAACAACTGCAAATGCTTTAAGAAAAATTCATTCATCATTTCTATCAACTTATGAAATAGAAAATTTAAAAACCCCATGGTTTTGATCCCAAAGATAGGAAAAGAATCATCTCCAATGATCTAGCCCTAATTAAGTTCTCAATGTAATCCACTATTATTTAAAAATCAATGAACGTGACATGAGTGACAAGAATAGCTTGAATGTTACAGAACAACCAGATTCTTTCAGAAAATGAAGTGAAACTTTTTCATGATTTCGTCGTAAAATACCACTAAGTTGGAATGATTATTTTTAAAATCTTATGTTTTCTCTAAAACATTATGACTATTATTAATTTAGGCTTTTAAAGATTGTGAATGAATAAAGAAATTCAAATGCTGCATGGGAAACTATCCGAAGATATGTGATTGAGGGTTTGAAAAACAAGCTCATTCGAAAACAATATATACCTGAAGGTTGATCTCTTTCACGGTCAACAACAAATTTAAAAGTCCTTTAACCAGTTCCTACTCAAATACACATAAGGCATTTATCTCAAAGTAAACGGAAATGAAAACTGATCACTCTAAAATGGCAATTGTTCACCAATACATATAAAGCTACAATTGCTTGCAGTACAGTAGGTGGGTCAGCTTACAATGAGCATCCTAATCAAAGAACACCATGCGTCACCTCAGGCAACAGCTATGGCTTCCTGAACCTTGTCGCCCACTTTCGAGTTGGCCAAACCATCCTCACCACCTTCTTTGTGGCTCACTGCTGAGCTCTCCACCTCACCACCTTCATATGCGGAATCGTGAACACCTGTAGCTGCCCTGCCTGAGGGATCCAAGTTATTGGCCCATGCCTTGTCCCAGGCAATGGCAGCAGCAGTACTGCAAGCTACACTAGGTCCTCCTGGAACTGTAAGCCTTGCTGACTCCTGCAATTTGTATTTTATATAAAAGCTCGTCAGTGATTGTTCAAAATATATCGAAACCGGGTGTGAGCCCAAGCTCAAACACAGGATGAGATCCATGTCACATATGGTATTGTATTGCTCTGAACTTGATTTGGTCACTATATGGTACAGTCAACAAAATATGTGTTGTTTGATAAAATTTCATAATTAAGTTAGTGGAGTATGAAGTGGCTGTGAGAACTGACCTGTGGGAAGCATCTCTCGAAGATCATGCGGTAGTAGTAACCTTCCTTTGTTCCTGGAGTGTTGTGGGGATAAATGTGTTTAGCATTTGCCAGCATCTGGTCAGAAACCTGCAAGATCGGGTGAATGTCAGGGGTCGACCACATACAACGACATAGAATGCAATTTGAAGCGAATGAGAAGTTATGGTTACCTGACTGGCTGCATGGTCCTTCAAGCCATCAATCCAACTGTAGCCAACACCGTCACTGAACTGCTCCTTCTGTCTGTACAAAATATGCTGCAACGCAAGCGCAAAGCAATCACAGGGTGTCACAGAATCAGAATCCACTTCAATAATTACCCCGTACATTCTTCAAGGTTCTACTAATCTCTTCGAGATAGTGCTGCAAAATCACTTCCACTCATTTGAATAGCAGGAAGCTCCTAAACATGAATGTCTATTTCACTTCCAAAGGACAAGACCGTCAACCTTGGGCAGGTATGGGTTCTCTTCATCATCAAAAGCTTTACGGATGATCCACTTCTCGATTTTCCCTTCCTTCTTGTTTATCTGCACCACCAATTATAGCTATAGCCACTCAGTAACACGAGCTTATATTGAAGGACACCTTCAGCATCTAAAGATTATGGAGTTGCCTGCAATGAAAAGTACTCAAGGAAGAGAAAGTTCGGCAACTAGGACGCACTTTGATGGCCTTTCAAATTCTGAGAGATGGTGACAGATACTGTCACAACCGAAACCTTAAATGAGAAATGAATCACTGGGAACGTACCATTTTCTCAGCAGGGTCGATCGACATGGCGAGGTTTACGAAGTCCCTATCCAAGAATGGTACACGAGCTTCCAAACCCCAGGCTGATGTTGATTTGTTTGCCCTCAAACAATCGTACAAGTGCAGTGCCTTCAACTGCCGAAAAATATAAAATTGTATATCCATCAGACCTTTGAAATAAGAAATTCAAAATTATAAGCTAAGTTAATTCACAAGATGAACTGCAATTGTTAGATTCAGATGCAGATGCATCTACCGCAAAGGCACTTAATAAGCAAACACAGACCTTCCTACAAGTTTCCTTGTGAAACTCCTCCTTGTTAGGAGCTTTGTGGAAGTAAAGGTAACCCCCAAATATCTCGTCTGAACCCTCTCCAGAAAGAACCATCTTCACGCCAAGGGCTTTGATTTTTCGAGACATGAGGAACATGGGTGTACTAGCTCGAATTGTAGTGACATCATACGTTTCAATGTGATATATTACATCAGAAATGGCATCCAGACCTTCCTGTATAATTGAAAAATCGGGTCAGTAACAATCCAACAAGTCTAAACGTTGTACACTAGACTAAGGATTCAAGCATACAATCGTAAGAATAAGCTCATTCGAAACAAGACATACATACACACAACAAAGGAATTGAACTCGTGAGAGACGGAGCAGACCTGGACAGTGAAATGAAACTCTTTGTGCACCGTACCGATGTAATCAGCAACTTCCCGTCCAGCCTTCAAATCGGGAGAGCCCTACACATGGGCAACACAACACAATGAATGACATAAATCACAGTTACTAACATCAAAATCCAAATCATAAGCCAATGAGCCCTACAACAAAATCTGAGAACGGATTGGGATTTGGATTACTGTTATCACTTCAGCAAAACCAGACGAATCAGAAGCCCCGTAGTAGAAGGGAAAGTGTAATTATAAAGATGCCACTCCTTTTCCAAACGGACAAAGCTAAGCTAAGTACCTCCAGTCCAACACAGAAAGAATGAAGCTTATTCCCCCATTGCTTGGCTGCTGTACTGCCGGCTAGATGTCGTTGAGCAACCGCAGCTACCAACGAGGAATCAAGGCCACCCGACAGCAGCACTCCAAACGGCACATCCGTCATTAACCGTTTGATGACTGACTGGAAAAGCAGAGGCCATGTTTGTAAGTGTCAAAGAGTATCCTAGATATTTCAAAGAATGTTGAGCACCTCTAAATAAGTTCAGGAAGTAATAAAACGAGACCTAGCATGAGAATTGCTCCGTCGACATTAACTCAACAACAAGTCGCGAGTCTGGGGAAAGAGGTCATCTGTTGCACTGCGGTTCTTACTTTCTCAAAGGCATGTCGTAGTATGAGCGGGTCATAAGGTTCTGCTGGGATGCTTTCGTTGAACCAAGGTGGGTTGTAATACCTACGCAGACCACCTGAACATCCGCAACCTTCGTTAAGAGAAATCAATGCAGACTACCTTCAATAAAATTCATTTCCAATGCACTCATTCTGTATTCTTAGCATCTGGAACCAAAATAATGTGCAATTGAGGAATTGATTACCTTGCTTGCTGGAATACATGTGACCTGGAGGGAACGACTCAAAGCGCTCACAATCGTCCTTCAAAGCCTTCATCTCAGACGCAAACCATACAGACCCTGCCAATCCCACATCAATAGCCAGGATCAATGACTGCATGATGAGAACGTTTCCTTAATTGCAGGGACCGAAGACGAACAAAATGACCTAAGATCGGTTACGAGAAATTAAAGGAAAGAGGCAGTTGAAAGAGACCATCATTGCCCCACCCGAGGTAGAGTGGTGTGATTCCAAGGGGATCGCGAGCAGCAATGAATGACTTATCGCGCAAGTCTACCAATACAAATGAAAACATGCCATCCAGCTTCTCAACCACCTCCTCCCCAATTTCCTCGTACTACAGAAACCAGCAGGCAGCAAAAATCAGTTCACACAAATTCTGCAAGGGTGGTTTTCTTCAGTACCACAATTCGAAATATTGATAGAGGTACTGCTATACCACTATGGTGCAACCTTTTCTCAAATAAATTCTAAACAAATTTTCGCCATAAAGCTGTTTTAGAAAGTTGGACAGATCTAACAATGCTCATCAAAAACCCCGTTAATTGTTAGGGGTCCTATTTTAGAGGAACAAACCAGCCATGGGGGGAGGTACACAACAATGAGTCCAAGAACAAAAGCATTAGAAGACTACCAGGCAATTGGGCACCACTCAATAACATCTCTGAGCTTCCATGCTACACAAACCACTAACTTCCTACAGGCCAAGCTGAAACTAGAAACACTTACCAGATGTGCAATAACTTCACAATCACTCTGAGTGTGGTATTTATGTGCCTTCATGCTCGCCTTGAGGGCCTCATGGTTGTAAATCTCGCCATTCACCTGCCATCACCAAGAGATTCATTCAGCACAAAAATTACAAACAGACGATTACAACTCACCCACAACGCTCACAGCTCAGAATGCAAGCTTTCGCTCACAATTCCGGACCTCTTCGATCGTACACAACAACAAGAGACGCTAAGAGAGACATGGCTGCCACAAACATCACACCCACCGCGACGACAATGTCCTTGTTCTCGTTGAACAACGGCTGGTCGCCCGACGTGGGATCGATAATTGCCAACCTTTCGTGCGCCAGATAACATCCCGACGCCTCGTCCACGAACAAACCACTCCAGTCAGGTCCCCGGTGCCGCAACCTGCCGCCACCACCACTCCATGCATCAAAACCCTGCCTTCACCCTACAACGCAGACCCGGACCGACACTAACCCCGTCTAAACCCCCAAATTCTTCCCCGCAGTCAGCATTTCCCATTCCATCACCTGCGAGAGAGCTCCAGGCAGCGATGCCGCCGCGTGACGCTCTTGTCATGGCACCCAAGGATGGCTAAAATTCCACACATTGTGACGGCGGCTCAAGTCTCCTCAAAAGCGCTAACGGAAAGACAAGAGAGAAGCCAAAAAGGAAGGAGGGGGGACGACAAGCGACCAGCTGGGTCAGGATTCGTAGGTTTGTCGTGCAAAGAGCATCATAAACCCTTGATGCAGAATCCGCCTCTTCCTCTTACTCTTCCTCGTCCTCCTTCACCACAACCACCCAAGCCCACACAGTGTGGAACTGCAGCCTCGCCTGATACTACTAGTAACCGAGCACTCCAGTCGCGCACGGCCATGGGTGCGGGCCTAAAGCCTCGACGTGAGCTGGAATCCTGGATCTAAGCTGCTGCTGCTGCTGCTGCAGTGCACTCGGTGTCGTTAAGCCTCTGTTGCCTGGTTCGTGACTGCACTACCCAGATTCCCTCCTCAGGGTGAGAATCCTCGGCACGGCCAACGGTGACTGTCTGCGTTCGCTGCCAACTCGTCCACCCATCTCGTCACTTGGGGTCTTGTCCAAGTGAAAATTTTACACTCGATTTTTCACAATGGGTGGTCCGTTTCTGAAAAAACTTGATGGAAAAAGGCCACATTTCGCGGCGCTATGTGCAGTTTAATATGGCTATCAGCTAAAGCAAGCGTCGCATTACAGCAAACTGAAAGCCTCACTGGTGGGTTCGCGCTGCATGAACAACCCTCAATGTGGGAATTAGCAGAAAGGGATTCTCCGTAAACAGGCGATGATGCTTAGTGTTGGACTTATAATATATAAATATTTGTTTTTGCCGGTGGTAATGGGTGCATATGTTATGCCAGATGGTGAGGGTTCGGATCTCGCCCGCTGAAGTGAGATTATAGTAATCGGTTGGCCGGGAATTGGGTGGGGTTGGGTTGGGTTTACATTGGGGATTGATTGCACCCTAACGACGAGAGGAGCAGGGAGTCGCTATATGGTCGGAGCACAACGCCGGCTCTGCCACATCCTGGTGCTCATCGTCGGACATTCGTCGCTTTCACCTCGTTCGTCGGTTTTTCGCTCGTTTCTCGTTTTTCTGTCCGTCGTTCGTTCATCCATCTTATGTCCCGTTTGGCTCTCGTCTCCTATTCCCGCATGGTAGTTCTTCCAACCATCCCAACTCCGAGCCGAGGCGACAGAAAAGCCACATTTTGGCAAACATTTGGCCCATTTCTACTAAAAAAAAAATCTATCACCATCAAATAATGTACATGTAAGATTTTTACTTGACTATATGATATTTTTTTTTTATTACATCATTAACAAATGTGAATCATGTTTTTAGTTTATGAACAATTATTTTCATAATTTTTGGATGAAATTATTATAAGAAAAATTTATTTCAAATTCAGTCTTGAATTTCTTTATGAAATTAATTAAAATATAAAATATCAATAATAAATTTTACCATCAAAAAAATTGATGTGCATATTTGTGATATAATATTATTGTATTTAATTTAACATAAAAGTTGAATATATTCATAGCTTTAATTCTAAAATTAACCTACTAATTTCTAATTGAAACTTATCAAATTCTATATTTAAAATATTATAATATCATTTTCATATAAAATAAGTACTAACTAAACATCACTAGTTTTAAACATGTGTAGAAAAACAAACACATGAAAATAAACATACCTAGATTTATACTCATACTAAATATAAAAGAAGCTAAAAAGAAAAAAAATTAAATTCTTACTAATATAAAAATATATAATTATATTTTTTTTTAGTATTTTATAAGTAAATAATATGGCTAATTTATTTATCTAGTGAAATATTAATATGCTATAGAATTTTAATATTCTATATTAATTATTTATTTATGTTGAATTTTAAAAGATATTAAATGAATTTTTTAAAATGATAATAAAGTAACATATAATTTAAAAAACATAGAAAATTTCTTAGATTAGCAAAGTAATAAATATGAAGAATTTGGTTGTAATTCCTTTGTTTCTAGATGGTTAAAAATATATAGGTTTTTGTAGAAGTTGTTTTAATGCTTTTAAGGAGGTAAAAGCATTACAATTTGTACACTGGTGCAAAATAAGTATTAAAAGACATGTTTCTAAATAGACTTATAAGAATATTCTCTCTCTTTCTCTCTCTCTCTCTCTCTCTCTATATATATATATATATATATATATATATCAATAAATAGATACAAAATATCTCTTGTTTAAAATATAAAAAATATTCTTTTAAAATCAAAGTTAAAAAATAAGAAATATATTATTAAAATCAAGGAAGGTTTTAATCTTTTCTTTATTTATATTTGGCTACAAAAAGAGCATGTAAAATATTCATAAGAATTATAAGCATTACAAAAAAAAGTATCCAATTTATGATTATTTTTAATAATATTTATCTATTTATAAAAAATCTATTTAAAAATCAATCTTAGAAATTACATATTTATAAATTTAATCAAAATTTAGAAATTTTATATATTATTTATTTAAAATTTTATATGCTTTTACTTAATTCTATATATAGATATAATTATATGAATATTAAAATATTCATAATAATATTTTAATTTTTAAAAATAAAAATTAAAGTAAATTCCTAAATTATAACTTATTTTACAAGTTAAAAAAATTGAAGATCTTGTAAATAGTTTTTTTTTACAAATTTTAATCAATTTTCTTTTCAACAAAAATTCATAGGTTATTTGAACCATTAGTATTGTCTCATATCTTGGCAAAAAACAACTTAATAATTGATTAATATTATTAATGCTTTCCTAATAATTTTAAAATAATACATATGAAATATTATTTGATTTGGTATTAACTTCCAAATACATTATTAAATATGGAAGTTTATCTTTAAATTTTTGTACCAAACATATCTATTTTTCCATCTATTTTACAAAGAAATTATCTTTTATAAAGATTTTCATGGTATTTTTAACATTATAAATGATATTATAAATTATAATTTTTCAAAAAATAGTTATTAAGATGATTTTTAATATTAATAATCCTCAATCTAACTAATTAACAAAAATAATAATAATAACAATAAATATATGTAAAAAGGATTGTACTTCTGAATTTTTTATATTTCTTTTATCTTGTTATTGTTGGTAATAGTTGGTTTTTGCTCTGAATAGATGCTATAAACATAAAAATAAAGACTTTTTCCAATAAAGATGCAAAATTCTTATACTATTCTTATGTAGACTTTTTAATGTTATAATTTCACCAATTCATAAGATAATCTAATTTAATTCAACAACTTTAAAAAACTAAGTCTTATTCTATATTAAATTCTTTCTTATATTTTATTTTAATATAAGGTAGTGATAATTGCATATTTTTTAATGCATTGACTAATGTATAAGATTTCATAAACCAAATATATAAATAAGGTGAATCTTAATTATATTTTAAGACTTAAATTTGTTTTACTTAATTTATTTTTTTAATTAATAAAATCATCTTAGACTTTAATAATACAACTTCTTATATTGTCAATTAATTTAAATATGATAATAAAATAAAAATACTTTATATATAATTTTTAATTTTTAAAAAAATATTTGTATTGATGCTTTTAACTTTATTAATTTTCTTCTTATTGTATCTTTATTATTGTACAATGATTCAATGAAGCATCTACTAAAATTTCAATAATTAAATAATAAAAATTTAAAGATATAAAAATTCATAATTAAAAAAATATTAATCTCTATAAAAAATAAATTATATTATTTTTATAAATTTTTAGGTAGTATTAAAAATAAAATATCAAGTTTTTTGATATTGATTGACAATATAAAAGATGTTGCTAATGCCATTATAATTTTTCCTATTTCCACTAAAATCTGGTATCCACTTAATATATTTCCTTTGTTCTTATTTCTTGCAATGAACAATATAAATTCAACATGTGACAAATTGCTAAGATTTGAAATGTATAAAATAATTAATCATATTTTAAAAATATTTCTCAAAATTTTAACTTCATAAATTTTTTCATTAGTGAGAGAGAGAGAGAGAGAGAGAGAGAGAGAGAGAGAGAGAGAGAGAGAGAGAAAAAAAAAAAAGAAAAAAAAAAAGAAAGAGAAAGAGAAAGAGAAAGAGAAAGGAGAGTTGTTAATGTTACAAACATCCAACAAGAGATTTTAGAAATATTCTTAGAATATTCTATTGAATTCTAAAAGATTTTAAAAATATTTTAGTAAATTTTAGAAAGTTCTAAGAAGATTAAAGAAGTTGTTTGCTAAACTTCCTTGGATTGCTTCGTAAGGTTCTTTCATCTTCAAGTAACATAGAAATTTCTCAAGAAGCTTCCTAAGGTTCTTTTATCTTCAAGTAACATAGAAACTTCTCAAGAAGCTTTCTAAGGTTGGTTCACCTTGAAGCAATATAGTAACTTCTTAAAAAGCTTCCTAATATCTAATATATATTAGAGTGAAGGCTGAGAGAATCCTTAGCTTCAACAACATATTTATTGGAGCTTTAGCTCATCTTTCTTAGTGTTGATCTTATAGTCATCAAATTCAATCAAGTTCTTCTTAGCTTTTTTATTAAAACTCTTTCTTTCAACTTCTTATATAATCTTGTATATAGTGTATCTATAACAATTTTTCAAGACTAGCCTCTTATTAATATTAGAGCTTGATCCTTGTTAATAGAGAATAGATTATTCTTCTTCTTGTAGGAATCTAAGTGCTTTAGAAGTTGTGGAGTATCCACTTCTAAATTGACATTGTTAAGAAATTCTTTTTTTTCTTTCAATATGGCTAAAGGTAAAGATGTTAATATACTTGAATCTCTCAAGTCGAAGGTAGATGTTATTATGAATACACTGAACACTTAAATTTATAGAACTATTAAAATTGAAGAATTTTTGAAAGATTTTATAGTGATATAAGACCTAGAGTATATTAGCTTATCATGAAATAACTTTTTTAAGCTTCAATATCCAAGGAGGCAATGGATTTTGTACCTTAATAAGAAAATTTACCTATTCAATAATATAAAGAGCCTTGGATTAGTCTTTTAGAAAATTTTGATGGTACATGCTCAAATTTTTGAAGATTTGTTAACTAAATTTGATTGATAATTTTTTATAATTTAAGCACTATCCAACAAAAGAATCACAAGTTCATTTAATTGGCACCTTGCTCATAACACAAGCCTTATCTTGGTTTGCTCTTTTATTTGAATAGAAATGTTCAATCTTAAGCAACTTTGAAGCTTTTTTATAAGCATTTTGTCATGGACATACTCATGTAAGCCAATAATTACATATATAAATAAGTAGAAGTAAGT